GCCATGCAGCGTGGTGGGCGATAAAATCATCAAGCTTCTCGATCTCTGCAGATGGGAGCTGTTGTTGCACGGAGTCTGCAGCCATTTGGACGTGGTTGATAAGTCCGTCTGTGTCGGCATTGCCGCTAAGGGACCTATAGAGGCACCGATACACGCAGGGATGGTCTTCACTGGGTACGCGCAACCAAAGGATGGACAGATCCATACCTTCAAGGCTGCCGAGGCGTCGAATACAAATGCACACGCAAACTCCAGCCCGGGGCAGAAAGGAGTGTTCCAATTTGTTCCCCTGGTAAGAGAGGTACGAAGTATCAGCCGGAGAGAACACCTGTGTCTCGGTTAGAAAGACCAAGGTCGGCTTTGCCGTTTCCAGATAGTAGTGGACGGCGTTAACGTTTGAAATCCCCTGACGTTGCAGAAATTCACGAATAGCGACGCAGGGGTCGCCTTTTTCATATTGCTCCGAGCAGGTTAGTCTCGAGCTGAATTTCGCCCCCCCCCCTCCCCTCCAGAATACACAGCGGGGTAGCCTGAGCACCCACGCTCAGGAAGAGTAGGGTAGCTTGGTCGTGGATGTTCAACGAATGATTCTCCTTCACCAAGGGTGCTGGTACCCTCCTGAGGTAGTGTGCTATTTAACTCCACTACCATGTTAAGGGGGGGATGGGGAATTGGGCCTCCGGTCACTTGCACTCACGAGACGAAATGCAGAAGCAGAGCTTCTACTTCACGCTGGTCTTCTGTGAGGTTGTGGTATCACTGCGGTTCGAACCGGTCCATACATGCAACAGCAAAAGCTGCCGCATGGCTCTACCACTGTTTAGCTGCTGCGTGGCTCTACACTGTTTACTGACCTACCTACTTGTGAGTACCTCATACTACGCCCTAGAAGACAACCTAGTTATAATGTCCAGATCGTTTTAATAGAGTCAAGACTCCTGTCCTTCTAATAGCGCTCTCACTCTCATATGGGTAATCCGACACAACCAGGGAGAGATCAGATGCAGGACCAACGGCTACACATAATTTCAGACACACAGGTGAAGCATCGCCAACTTCCTATCTCTGGGCTGATTCTGATAATTTCCTGACATTTAAACCCAATAATTAACTCACCCACCCCAAGATTCGAACCTGGAAACTCAAGATTAGCAATTGTGTCAACGACAACTAGATCAACGAGGCAGTCAGGATTTGAATTTAAAATGCACTTATCTTAAAGTGCACAATATAAGTACTTTGTTGTATTGTATAATTACAGCAATTATTTTAGTTACTAAAATACAAAGAAACATAGGTCAAATAACACGACAGATAAGTATTGCACACCACAATTGTGAACTGTTATTTTTAAAGATTTGGGTATATTGGTAACTATTTGTCATAAATATGACAGATTCAATGTTTGCAACAAAAAAGACACATAAGGAGTAAAAAATTTATTTCTACAAAAATACAAAAAGACTGTGTATTGAGCAGGATTTAGATTACTACATCTATTGATTTTATGAAGCCAATTTTTTTTAAAAGCAATAGTATACTATATCAAATATCATAATGCACTTGCAATATAGGTAACTGATGCCTAAATTGAATACATACAATGTTTCAAAATAATTATATAAAATTATATTATAATGTCATGTATTTCACGGAATAAGTTATGGTAGGGTAGACCGTCCTAAAGCCTCATAAACTATTTTGCGCTATGCCAATAAGTATTATTTTTATTCTAAAATTACCCTTAAAATTAAGAACGCACCAGAGGCTATCAAAAGCGGTACTAGCGTCAGAAGTGCTGCCAAAATTTATAATATCCCACGAACTTTGCAAGACCGAATATATGGACGTGTCAACAAGGAAATCCTCCATGTAGGCAGAGAAACGGTATTTAATGAAAAAGAAGAACAAGTTTTGGTGGATTGGCTCATCCAATTAGGCAAGTGCGGATTTCCTCAGAAAAAAAGCGATCTCATAAACACGGTTGAAAAAATTATAAAAGAGGATGGCAGACCAAACCCATTTAAAAATTCAAGACCTGGAGGACAAGTGTTACAAAGCATTTTTAAAAAGGCACGCAGATCTTAGTGAACGTACACCAGAAACTATAAACTCGGCCCGGGCATTAATTATAGAGGAGTTTATTAGGAAGTTCGATAATCCTAAGTAGAATAGCCCCAGACATAGACAGAAACCAACCAATAGAGCAAGCAGGCTTCCGACCACGCTACTCAACAATGGATCATATACACGCTATGGAACAAATGATAGAAAAATACAAAGAATATAACATGCCGTTATACATAGCATTTGTAGATTATGCTAAGGCTTTTGACAGCATATCACACTCATGTATATGGAAGGCTTTGAGAAAAAACAAAATAAATGAAAAATACATAAGTGTGCTAAAGAACATATATGCTAAGAGTACAAGCAAAATAAAACTAGAATGACACGGAGAAGAGTTTGAAATTGGGAAAGGAGTGAGGCAAGGTGACCCTCTTTCACCCACACTATTTATAGCCGTCCTTGAAGACATATTTCAAAACCTAGAATGGAAAAACAAAGGTATATGGATACTAAATAGAAGATTAACACATTTACGATTTGCTGATGACATAGCTCTATTTAGTGAATCTGCGACTGAATTAGAAATCATGCTTCAGAGCCTGAACACTTAAAGCCAAAAAGCAGGACTTCAAATGAATGCATCTAAAACAAAAATAATTACAAACAGCTCCAAAAAACCAATCAAAATAGAAGGAAAATCCATTGAATAATTTGATGATTATGTATATTTAGGCAAATTGATATCTTTCGAACTAAACAACACTGAAAAAGAAATAGACAGAAGAATAAATATAGCGTGGAAAAAATATTGGGCTCAAAAAGAAATTCTCAAAGGAAATTACAGCCTAAGAATGAAAAAGGTCATAATGGACTCGTGTATCCTCCCAAGTCTAACATATGCAAGCCAAACATGGGTGTACACTGAAAGAGTGAAAAACAAAATCTTGTCTTGCCAACATGCTATGGAGAGGAGCATCCTTAAACTAAGGAGAATACAAAAAACGAGAAACATAGATATTCGAAAGAAAACGAAATTAACGGATGCACTTCAGCATAGTCAAACACAAAAATGGAGATGGGCAGGACACATAGCTAGATACCAGGACAAAAGATGGACCTACCAAACAACAAAATGGAAGGGCCCATTTGGCAAGAGAAGTGTGGGTCGGCAAAGGAAAAGATGGGTGGATGACATTATTAACATAGCAGGAGAAGAATGGATGCAAATTGCCAAAAAACGTGAAGAATGGTTCAAATTGAAGGAGGCTTTTACCCAAGAGGGACTACATAAAACAAGAAGAACTTTCTAATAGTTCTATGTATTTATTTATAATTTTGATAACTCTGTAAAAGTGTAGAGAAATAAAAGCTATTATTATTAGGAAGTGGTTCCGGGACCTACAGTTTTCTAAAAAAATTGGAAGGGAGGACATATTGTTAGACCTGAAAAGAATACTAAATGGCGATGTAACCAGTTTTAATATATGCCCTAAAACAGTAAAAGTAATAGGACCAAAAGGCTGGAAAAATATTATATATGACATAAAGAAAGGTAGCGAAAAAGAAACGATTACCATTTTATTAGTATTCTCTGCTACAGATGAAACTGTATTTTTCCCTACGTTAAGAAACCACCAAAACAAAATTGTCGATAGTGCCCCTGATGATTGGTTTATCGGGGTTTCTGACAGCGGTTGGATGAAGGGCGATATATTTTTTGAATATATAGTGAATGGCGTCAACCATTGGATCGAAAGGAACAATATTCAAAAGCCTGTTCTTCTCTTTGTGGACGGCCACAAATCTCACCTAACACTAGATTTGAGCAGAATTATACACCAAATCAATAAAGATCTTTGATTTTTATCTTGCTTAATTATTTATTTATATATATTATATAAAGATTTTTTAAAACACCTATTAAAATCTGTAAGATTTAATGTATGCCGACTTTAGGCAGAATTTCGGACGACAATAGGTCACAGGTGGGCGACCTTAGGGAAAAAGGGTCGCTGCTTGATTAAATCTAAATATTATATTAATAGAGTTGATTTTTTCTTATTTTTTAAAGAAAATAGTAAAATTTATAATGCAATATCCCGGAAAAGTGCTTTAATCAAAAGCTAATTTAAGCTCTGTTAGCAAGATAGAAACTAGAAAAACAGCTTGGTGGCCGACTTTAGGGTGGTTTACCCTACATTGTAAACATACTTATATACCTTGGGTAGCTGGTTGTTTTTTAAACATATTAGACAAAGTTTTAAAACTAACCAGTTGAAGCCATGAGCCACCTATGTGTTTGGCACATAGCAGAGACCCAACCTGAGATAGCTGCTCCAAGATATTAGTAGACTGCATCTGCACAAATGCAAGCAGAGAGTAGTCTGAAGCTGATGTAGAGGATGGTCAATATGTACTGTCTTCCTTCCATGCTTATAACTTTTTTAGCAGCATGGCAATGAGCTAATTAGATGTGGTAGCCATATAAAAAGGTATTGGTGGTATTCTAACATGTTCATGGGAGAAAGGTAGAGGAAATCTTCCTTTTCCAAGGTCCCCAAGAGGTAAGTGCATAATAATTGCCATTGTTCTCCTATTATCCTCCTTTATGTCACTATGACTAGAGCTGTGTTATAGCTATGCATTAGGCATTTTCTCTAAAAAGACATTTTCAGTCTGGATTTTAACATAAATCTACATTGATCTACATTTGATATGAGGTTGAATCAAAATGTGAATGATCTACATTTTGATATGAGGTTATCAGTGCAATCTTTTTTTATAGAATAAGGGTGACAAATGAGCACATATTCCATCCACTTTATACATTTAATCTCTGAAAAATAGAGCAATCTTAATGTGCTATTAAAAAATGATATTACTTGTACTAAGAGGTGATACCGACAATGATAACATTACAATAATAAAATTTAATTGTCTTTAAATGCACTTAAGTCAAAATGAGACTGCTGACTTGTATGCTCAAGTATAAGAGAGTGTAAAGGTTCACTTAACCTTGTTGGGTCCATATCACCAGCAACATTACTTGAATCTTCTTTTGGTGCAAACATTGATGAAAATTCATTTTGCTGATTGTTTGAAAATGATGAAGGCAAGTTCAAATATTTTACTCTTTCCTTTTCTAAGTAGTTCACTCTTTCTTTAAGAGATACATTTTCATCCTTAAGAACTTCAATTTGAAGTACTAGTTGTTCTACAAGTGAGTGCAAGTTCTGACTGAGAATTTGCAATTCTTCTACAATTGTTTGTTGGGTTTTTTCTGTTTTTTTGCCATCTGTAACATCACCCCTAAGTGTTGTATCTTCAAAGGATGATATATCTTCATTGGATATCTTGTGTAATAAAGCTTCAGATTCATTTATTGCTCTATAAATAGCAACTTGTAGCTTTGCATGCTCATTACTTTGGAGATTTAGATGTGGATCTTTACTCAACAATTTAATATTTTCCATTGCTTTTTTAACTCGAGCATATTGGTCTTTCTTACTCTTGATTAGATCCTTTTGTTTCAGATGGTAACTGTGTTGTAGGCTAATCGATTCTAAAGCTGCTGATGACGTAGTTGATTTCATTGCGTCTAACAATAATTCTGCGGCGTTATGATGACACTGCATAGCTTCGTCGTACCTATTATTAATTAAATGAGCTTCAGCACGTCGATGTTGTTGATGTGCCTGAAAAATTATAAATTGTTTCAATTTTATCATAAAGTTAATACAAAATTGAAATGCAAACAAAAACATTTAATATTATACCAGGTTTAGAGGATGGGATTCCATTTTTCACTTAAAATATTTGCCTTAGATAATGTATTACATATTACACTTTCGTATTACATTAGAGAATGATTACTATATAGATTACTGCTTGCAACTCGTATATTGAAATAGGTTTACAAATTTACAACAATTTATCATCAACATCATTGTCACTGTCAAATTGACATTTCTTTTGTTATCTTTTTATTTAACTGCCGTTACGGCTCTGGGTTCTAGCTCTTCTGAGCCTATCATTTCTTTCGGAATCTTCATTTTATATATTTTTTCTTCACCATATGCTGATGCGTCACATTACGAAGTTTTTGGGAGATTTTGATGACAACTCAACCCAGCAGACAGTTGATGACAACAGCGCTCAAGTTCATAAGGCGCCCAAGCGATCAAATTAACTTGAGATTTATGTCAACATCAAAGCACTTGTTTCATCGTTTTCTCTAATATTTCACACGCGCAGACACTTTATTCACAAAATCGTATCACTTTTACGAATCAAAATCCACTTCAAACCATTATTCAGGCGACAAAACAGGAACGACAATCCGCCGACGGCCAAATTATATTATAATTTTTTTTTCTTTCTTTTTTTTTCTTTCAATTTATATTTTTGTTTCTTAATTATAATTGTATAAGTATATATTTTATGTCAGTAGTTATAATTATCAGTTATTGTTTAGTTTTTTGTACAGCATCGTCTTGGTTTTGTACTGTTATGATGTTGTTACTGTTTTTGTAATAAATAAATAAAATAAATAAATAAAATTTATTTTTGTATAAGGAAAATACTTCTCATTCAGTCTCATGCGCGTAGATAATGCTCTCGCGCTCCCACTCACAGTGATATTAAAATTTAGTTCAGGGGATGATTGGCCCCTTGGATCGGTCTGTCTTCTTGTCAAAGGTTTTAAAATAGTTGTCGGGTGAACATATATAAAAATGGAGCATCAGAATTTACGTGAAGTTAACTAATTAATTTGAGAGCTTTAAAGCGTCTGCAAAGCAATATGGCCGACGGAAATCTGGGAGTATTGACAACTTATTTTTAAGTATACATTGTAAAATATATATGAAAATCAGCCATGGGTATTTACGTGAAGTAAGTAATGTTTTTATGTACCTTGATCACCTGATACCTGAAAATTGGCTGTTTGACCAAGCTAGCAGGTAGGCATGCGATCGTAGTACAAACTAACACTAGTCAATCGTCCACATTTCATCCGTCAGAAAATACGTGACGTCTGGCGGCCCTGGGATCTTGGACTATTAGACGAAAACACGATTCCGTAAAATTTTCTCGATAGAAAAAAAAAATCCAAAGTTACTATTCATAAAATACTTTAAATTAGATCATGAAACTTTGCATACTAACTGAACTAACTATAAAACAGAACTTATGTTTTTTTATTTTTTTTAATTACCATTATTTTCACTGTAAAAAGAAATTACCTAAACTATCGGTGTCTTAAAGCTTGTTCCCTGCCGCACGGTCAGTTTTGCTTCGGCGTTTGAAGGGGAAAGTTGACTATGTCATTTACGATCAGGATACACATTACGCAACAGGACGACGTAAAATTAAAATGAGAAATAACCGTAATAAAAATAAGAAGTGACCGGGTTGGTGTAAAGAAACAGGCATAAATATGATAAACCTAACGAAATAAGTATCTAACGACCTATCTACTTACAGTATTAGTGATTACAAACATGTCGGTACATAGCATAAGACGCGCGGGGAAGTGAGGGCGAAATTAGAGTTTGAGCTGAGTTATAATGAGTTATAATTTTATCTATAACCTAATACATTCGAATTAATATTTTTATCTATATTACTTTATACATTAAATACTTATTGTCAGCCCGAAACACCTATTTTCAACTAGAATAAGCCTATCAAATGCGCAAGACTTCAAAAGTACGCGCTAACACAAATCAACAAACAATTTGTTGAAATGAGAACCTCAGTATTTATCCTTGAAGTAACAATAATTTAATTAAAGAAAGAAAAGAAACAGTCGCGTACCTGATACTCAGAATCACCAAACGGTATTCGCTGAAGGTCATACAGGTTTACGCACCATCCTCGGCACATCCCATACCACATACATACATTTATTACACCACATACATATATAGCATCTGGCCGACTTTATGGAGAAAAAGGGACTCTTTATGATGAACTCTTTCTTCCAGAAGCGGCCCCACAGGAAGTGGACCTGGTCGAGCCCCGACGGTTCAACAAAAAATGAGATTGACTTCATTATGACGACCAGACGCCAACTGTTCAGTGATGTCTCAGTGATCGCAAGGGTGAAAACTGGCAGCGATCACCGAATGGTAAGAGGCACACTGAAAGAAAGAAAGCTCCAAAGTCTTAGCCAGAGATCTGTCTGCTAGTAGGAGCTGTCAAAGCTGAATACTGAGTGTGGCAGCAAGGTTCTTTGGGCAGCTGTACACATCATCGTTGGAGCCACACGCAAGTGTGAGTAACGATCAGAATCAGAATCAGAATCAGAATAGTTTATTTGTCAAACATAGGTAGGTTTAAACATTGAAGGTCTTGCGAGGGTTACAATTATTAGTACGCTATGTTTTGTCTTAAAGACATACAAATATAAATGTGTGTTCGTATGAGAATCATGCCATAAAAATAAAATAGAATAAAAATTAATGACATTGTAACACTAATTAAGATTATACATTGATAAAATTAAATAGATGACAATATCAAAATAATATAATTAGTCAGTATAATTTAAAGTTAATATAATTATTCAAAATTATCATTCAAGAACTCGTCAATTTTATATTATCATTTGTCTATTAATAATTCATTAAGCACTTTCTTAAATTTAAATAAGTTCATATTTTTTATTGTATCAGGTAGTTTATCATAAATTCGTGGGGCAATACCAAAAAATCTTTTTTTCATTAGTGATGTTTTTTGCACATTTTATGTGTTATAACTTATTAACGTATTGAGTGCGCATTGGATTGTTTCTAATTGTAGATAATTTTAGAAAAAGTAATGGATACTTTTTTAACAAAAAATGCTGTTTCCAGAATATACAGTGATGGCAGTGTTAGGATTTTTAAAGATTTAAAATAAGGAAAACAACTATCTGTTATTTTCAGACCACACATTGATCTTACACATCATTTTTGCATCCTAAATACAAGCACCCTATCAGAAGACTGTCCCCAGAAAATAATGCCATATCGCAAAACGGAAGCAACTAGTCCATGGTATGCTGTCATTAAAGCCTGGCTGTTAACCTTTTTTAAAAGTTGAGAAAGCGCATATGCAGATTTGCTGAGGCGTTTGCATAGATCCTCAACATGAGGCTTACAAGTGAGTTGGTTATCAATAATTATACCCAAGAATTTAGCCATAACTGCTTCCTCAATATTAAAGCCTTGGTAGGAAATGTTAATATTTGGGTTTTGACAGCGTTGGTGGAAGTGCATAATTTTTGTTTTATTTAAATTTATTTCTAAATTATTATTATGAAGTCACTCTATAATTTCGCGTAAACATGTATTGATATCACTTTCATAATTAACTTGGTTTGTACACTTTATTATATCTGTATTGTCATCCATCATTTTATATGACGTTATTTTTGGGAGATCGTTTATATCTATTAAAAACAGCGGCGGCCCCAGTACACTACCTTGTGGAACCCCGTATTTAATATGTCTTGGTTTCGATAAATATGTAGTTTCTAATTTATTCTTTGTAAATATTCTAGAAATTTCTGTGCATTGGGTTCTATTGCTTAGGTACGATTCTAAGAGCTGGAGAATGTTCCCTCTTATACCATAACCATGTAATTTATTTAACAAGATCTTATGGTCCACATAATTAAAAGCCTTGGTAATGTCAGTAAATGGCACAAAATGGATTTTTCTTATCTACAGATGACATAATATTGGCTAGTAAGTTATACAGTGCCACATTAATATTAGTATTTTTTCGAAACCCCTGTTGCTCTTTACAAAATAATTCATACTTTTCGAAATAGGTGCATAAAGAGTTGTAGGTTATTTTCTCAATAACTTTTGAAAATATAGGAATTTTTGCGATAGGTCTGTAATTTTTTAAATCTGTTCTGTCATCTTTTTTATGTAGGGGATTAATAATAAATAACTTTTTTCAGTTCTTTTTTTGGAAATATGCCGTCAGTAATACTTAAGTTAATTATATGTTTGTGTGTTGTTTAACATTGGTAGAGCCACGCGGCAGCTTCGCTGTTGCACGTATGGCCCGGCTCAAACCGGGGTGGTATTACGACCTCACAGAATACCGGTGTGAAGTGGAAGCTCTGCTTCCGCGTTTCGTCTGGTGAGTGCAGGTGGCCGGAGGCCCAAATCCCCCCCCCCATCAACATGGTAGCGGAATTAAATGATGATAGACTACCCCAGGAGGGTACCAGCACCCCTGGAGAATCCCTCGCTGAGCATCCACGACCATGTTTCTCCACTTCTGAGCGTGGGTGCTCAGGCTGCCCCGCGTATTCTGGAGGGGAGGGGGGCAAACGGAGCAACAAGACCAAGGCGACCCCTGCCACGCTGTCCGTGAATTTCTGCAATATCAGGGGACTTCATTCTAACCTAAACGCCTTCCACTACCATCTCGAGACGGCGAGGCCGGCTCTGCTCTTTCTGACCGAGACGCAGGTGTCCTCTCCGGCTGATGTCTCGTATCTCTCCTACCCGTGGTACAAACTGGAACACTCCTTTGTGCCTCGGGCTGGAGTTTGCGTTTACGTCAGAGAGGACATCTGTTCTCGACGCCTCGGCAGACTTGAAGTTTCGGACCTGTCCATCCTTTGGGTACGACCATCCGCGCGTCTACGGGTGCCTCTATAGGTCCCATAGTGGTAATGCCGAAACAGACCGACTCTTTGACCACTTCCAAATGTCTACAGATTCGTTGCTACAGCAGATCCCCTCCGCTGAATGGCTTGGTTCACGTTTAACCGATCATGCGGGGAGATCTATTC